CGATTCTCCGGGGCGCCCTGCCAACACCGCGCGGGGGGGGAGGGGGGGGGGGGGGGGGGGGGGGGGGGGGAGGCGGGGGCAAGAGGCCAGGTCTCGGCAGGGGCCTTACGCAAGGCGGCGGGGCGAGAGCACGTTGCCCCCCAGGGGCGGATAGCCAGCCCGGGTTGCGGCCGACACCCCACGTGCTGGTCCTATCACGCCTCGCGCAGGGTGCCGGATCGACGATAGTGATCATGCGGCCAATCTTGGCGCCCACGCTGATCGATCTGCCAGCTTGGGGATCCCCCCACTAACCGGGCGCATGGGAATCATCAAGGGCGGAGCCGGCGCGCTCGGCGGCGGCCCGGGGCGACCTCTTTTTGGCGGGTCAGGGCCATCCCAGGGGCAACCGGGCGGGCAAGAGCAAACACTTCACCCTTCTACCTCCCCCGCCCTCCCTCCTGCCCTCTTCGCGTGCATACCACTCGCATACCGACACACGCGCACACCCCGACGACACGCCCACATCATGAGCAAGCCGCCTACCCGCAAGACCGACCTATTGGTCTCGGAGGATCAGCCCTCCTTCGGCGTCGGCCTGCCAAGTCGGTCGCTGCTTCTGGAGCCCAGTGCCCCTGCTGGCCGGCCTGCCACCTTCGAGCTTCCCCAGTCCGATCGTGCGTGCTGTGTCCCCCTGCTTGCCGCTGGGCAGTCCTTGCTCTTGCAAGCATGCTAACATGTCCCCCCCCCCCCCCCCCCTCTCTCTCTCCCTCTGTCTTGTCCTCTCTCCGTCTGGCCCCATTTCCCATGACAACGGCGCCAGTGCTGGGCCGTCTGCAGGCTTTTCTGCCTCAGATCGCCCAGGCCAACGCAAGCCTCGATGGCACGATGGGACATCCTGCGTCGGACAGCTTCAAGTTGATCCCGGTGACCGCTGACGAGGACGAGGAGGAGGATTCCGAGGAGGGATCCGCTTCGGGTACCGGGGTGATGATCGAAATGGTGCGTTCGCCCTGCGGGGTTGCCACTTCCCGCCCCCTCCCCGCCACATGGCGCTGACCTGTTCTCCGGCTCCTTCTCTCTCTCTCTCTCCCCCCCCCCCC